GCGCACCAACCTTGCGCATTACCTCAGTAAACCAATTTTATTGAATACAAAAATATACTCACAAACAAAGAAGTATTTCAAGCATATCAGTTCTCAAAGGAACTATGGAATGGTAAGACCTGCGTGAGTCCCATCATAGGGGTGGACACTCAGGGATCCACTGACGCGTTTCGAAGGATGTTCCTTCTTCATCAGAGCTTGATCCTCATTTAAGCCATGTCTCTGCACTTCCTGTTTGCCAGATTATTGTGTTCTTTCCACCCAATATCTTGCCGATTTCCATACCTTATCTCTACTACCACTCATTACCGACCTTCAGCTTGTTCCTTGACTATGCTTCTGCTTGATCCCAACCTGCAACCACTTTGTTCTTTTTAACCAAGGCTCCATCTTTATTGGAGAAATGTATTGCATAACTGTAAAACAGTGATGATATATCTGTATAGGGATCCTAATAGATCATAATGCAAAAAGAAATGCCACATCCCTATATCTATATAAATGCACAAATAGGTAGTGGAATGAGACTTTTGAGGCACACCATTATTCATAAAAATTAAATGTTTTATTTAATCAATATACATAATAGAATTTTTTCCACCAAAGTACATCATCATTACATATAAAATATTGCAACATTTAATCAATGTATATTGATTAAATAAAAAAATTAATTTTTATAAATATTGTGTGCCTCAAAGGTCCCTTTCTACTACATTTTTTGTGCATTTATAGATCTGCCCATGGGGTGTCTCACTCCATGCGACAATGGACACTGCAATGCATAGTACAAGAATGATGACATAAAATAAAAATCTTTGGGTTCCCTCAAAAAAGGAAGAAAAAAAAACAGACAAATGGCACCTACATGCTGCAACCACTTGATACTGACCTTTGTCTTGTTTACTGACTAAGATTTTGTTTGATTACCTGCTATATCTGCTACTGCACCTCAGCGTGTTCACATCCTGGTGAGGTGAACCTGAGGACCACAATTTCGGAAAAAACACACAGCAAAATCCATCTCCACCATAAGGAGCTCTGGGGGATACCAGTTAGTGCTTACACCTAGCACCACGGGGGAGCACATCTCACCTGCTTGTTTACTTATCCTGCTGGTCTGTGGGAGCTTCTCTACTGCTGTTGCTACTGGTCTCCAAGCCTGACCATAGACCATGACAGAATAATATGCCCAAAACATAGAAGCAGATATAGCAACTGCTGTAGCTCCTTGTACGCAGCCAATTACAGAACACCAAAAATTTGGTGCTATCTGCTAGAAGAATTCGGTGAACTGGAATTTATGGCGAAAGGGAAAATCCAAGCTCAGCAGAGACAATTACTTGACTTGTGTATTCGAGATAATGTTAACGCATGCATGCCTCTACCACCCACGTTTAATGGAGACTGCCACCATTGCAGAGGTTACTTTAATCATTGTTGCATATATTTCCAAATGCAACCCTCTGCATTTACTTTTGAGAAAAAGAAGGTATTGTTTGTTATCAACCTCCTTACGTAGAACAAGACAGTGCAACTCTGAATAATTCTGAGACTTTTGTGACTGCAATGAATAAAGTTTTTGATGATTTTAATCTCTGCACTACTGTCGAAGCAAAGTTGCATAGCTTGCAGCATTGTAGATGCTCTGTTGCTGAGTACACTGCTGAATTCCAACATTGGATTGCAGATACCAATTGGAACCCAGCAGCACAAAAAAGTCAGTTTTGCCAAGGGCTCTCTGAACAAATAAAAGATGAGCTTGCCAAAGTAGAGACTCCTAATGATCTCAAGGCTTTCATCCAATTATCTATCCGAATAGATCAGAGATTTACAGAAGGAGGAAGGAGAGACTGTGAATGAATTGAAGTAATGTTGGCATGTGTTTCTCTGCTAGTCAGCTCACACAGAAGGATCCAAAAGTTTCCCTGGATTCTAAGACTTCCGAACCTACACAGGCTGATATTATTAAATCCATTTCTGCTCAGGAGAACAAAAGAAGTTGTTTGGAGAATGCACTGTATGTCTTTATTGTGGGGACTCCAGGCATTACACAGTCATTTGTTCAAACAAAGTTAGAAGAATAATTGCTGCTACTGATGTTATAGTGTCTGAACAAATAAACTCCATTACCCAGTCTATCTCCCCATTTATCCAGGAAGAAAATAAAATGAATTCTCCATCTGATTTTGCCATCCCCATTATACCTATCACCGAGGGCTGTGAAATTCTTTGCTCTGCGATGCTGGACTCTGGGGCCAGGGGCAACTTTATTAACATAGAATTTGCCCAAAGCAATAAATTCCAACAAGAAATAAATCTGCTTCTATTGATATTGAGATGGTTGATTGTTCACCTTTATAACCTATTACCCATGAAACAGTTCCTCTTCAACTCTGATTTGAGGCTGACCATTGTGAGATTTCACATGATGACATCACCCAAATTTCCTGTCATCCTGTGCGTTCCTTGGTTTTATACCCATAATCCTTCCATTAAATGGGCAGCACGGACTATAAATTTTACATCTCCCCATTGCAAGAAACATTGAACAGAACCTTGTCAAGCAAGTTCTTCATCAACCAAGGAATCACAAGTTGATGTGGAAACTACCTAGTCATACAGTATGACAACCTGCCTCCACAATGCCATAAGTTTCAGGAGGTCTTTGATAAAAAGAATGTCAATCAATGACCTCCTTGTTGTCCCTATGATTGTCCTATTGAGCTTTTCCCTGGAGCAGAAAAAACATTTGGTTGCCTTTTCAATCTGTGAGAACCTGAATTAAAGGTGCTCAGGGAGTGGATTGATGAAAATTTAGAGATGGGCTTTAGCAGACAATCAATTTCTCCTGCGAGTCCAGCCCTGTTCTTTGTTGAAAAAAAGTACTCCACCTTGCATCCTTTTACAGGGCTTTGAATTAAATCACTATTAAAAACTGTTATCCACTTCCCTTGATGGCTGAAATGTTGGAAAGACTCCATTCCGCCAAAGTCCTATAACCTTTTCTGCATTTATCAAAGAGACAAATGGAAACTGCCTTTAACCACTTGAGCACCTGAGGATTTACCCCCCTTAATGACCAGGCCTCTTTTTGCTACTCGGCGCTGCACTAATTCAACTGATAATTGCGCGGTCATGCAATGCTGCACCCAAACAAAATTTACGTCCTTTTTTTCACACAAATAGAGCTTTCTTTCGGTGTAATTTGATCATCTGTGCGCTTTTTATTTTTCACACTATAAACAAAAAAGGCCAAAAATTTTGAAGAAAAACAATATTTTTTACTTTCAGCTATAAAAAATATATAGTAAACTCAAAGTTGGTTATAAATTTAGGCCAAAATGTATTCTGCTACATGTTTTTGGTAAAAAAAAAATCCAATAAGTGTATATTGATTGCTTTGTGTGGAAGTTATAGCATCTACAAACTATGGTATAAATACTGCAATTTACGCCATTTTTCTGATATACAGCGCTGCGCTAGTTTAACGGACAATTGCGCGGTCATGCCAAACGGTACATAAATGAAATTTACATCCTTTTTTTTCCCACAAATTGAGATTTCTTTCGGTGGTATTTGATCGCCTGTGCGGTTTTTATTTTTGCTCTATAAAAAAAAAGGCTGACAATTTTGAGGAAAAAAAACAATATTTTGGACTTTTGCTATAAAACATGTCCAGTAAAAAAAAAAAATGCAAAAATCAAATTTAGTCATAAATTTCTGCCAAAATGCATTCTGCGACATGTCTTTGCTAAAAAAATACGTGTAAATTAATTGGTTTACGTGAAAGTTATAGCGTTTACAAATGGCGGGAAAGATACTGGAATTTTTATTTATACTAATAATGGCACCGATCAGCGACTTTTGGCGGCAATCAGCGACATATGGCGGCGACCAGCGACTTATGGCAGGACTGCGGGACAGCGGTGGACATTTTGACACTGGGGGGGGGAACTGACTTGGGGTCACTGACATCCCCAGTGACACCAATACAGTGATCAGTGAAAAAAAAACCACTGAAACTGTACTAATGTCACTGGGGAGGAAGGAAGGGGTTAACATTTTTAGAATTTGCAGTGTAAGGGGAGTGTTTTACTAGGGGGCAGGGGTGTGTACTGGATGGGGGGAGGGAGGGGGAGCTGATCGAGGGAGAGAAACTCTGCAGCTTCTCACAAGCTGTCAGAGAACTGACACAGAACAGGGCTGTGTGTAAACAATGCAGCCCTGCTCTGTGTTAGCGATCACCGGCAATCGCGGGAAAACGTCCGGTAAAAACCGGCCGTGACCCGTCGGCTGACACCCGCTGCTGACACCCGCGGGACAGGTAGGGCGGGCGCGCACCTTGCGCGCGCCCCCTACCTGTTTTGAAGGCAGCCGTTTTAAAGCGTGCTTTTGCCTACGAGCGCCGGCCTGCCACTGTTTATATGCGGTGGCTGGGCGGCAAGTGGTTAAAACTAGATATGAGTATTTTGAGTCCTTGGTAGGGGCGAACTGACCATTTGGAAACATGGGCACTGCCCGAGGACCCGGGGTCAGTAGGGGGCCCCAAGAGATGCTCCTGGTACCTTTTTCATAGGCTCTTTTGAGTTTGGGCAAGGACACAGGGGCCCCATGATCCCCTATTGCCTGGGGGCCCCATGAGTTGTCAGTCCACCCATGATCTTTGGTTATGTTTTTTGGCCTTTGCAAAGCTTCTGCGACTTTTCAACACTTCAATTATGTTTTTTGAGACCCATTGGAGCAGTTTGTATTGTATATCTAGATGATATTCTCATCTTTTTGGATAACCTAAAGGACCATTACAAGCATGTTTGCACTGTCTTATAGAGAGGAAGAACTGACTTTACATGAAACTGGAAAAATGTGAGTCTGAATGAACCCAGATCCAGTTCTAAGGATTCATAATTTCTTCAGAAGGATTTGGACACCCAAAAAGTATTTGGACACCCCTCCAATCACCTCCATGACCACAGGTGTATAATATAAAGCACCTAGGCATGCAGACTCTACAAAGATTTGTGAAAGAATGGGTCACTCTCAGGAGCTCAGTGAATTCAAGCGTGATACCGTGATAGGTTGCCACCTGTGCAATAAGTCCATCCATGAAATGTCCTTGCTACAAAATATTTCAACGCCAACTGTTAGTGGTATTATAACAAAGTGGAAGCAACTAGGAAAAACAGCAAATCAGCCACGAAGTGGTAAGCCACGTAAAATGACAGAGCGGGGTCATCAAATGCTGAAGCACACAGTGCGCAGAAGTTGCCAACTGCAGAGTCAATAGCTAAAGACCTCCAAACTTCATGTAACCTTCAGATTAGCACAACAAAGGTGCATAGAGAGCTTCATGGAATGAATTTCCATGGCCGAGCAGCTGCATCCAAGCCTTATATCACCAAGTGCAATGCAAAGTGTTGGATACAATAGTGTAAAGCATGCTGCCACTGAACTCTAGAGTAGTGGAGACATGTTCTCTGGAGTGACGAATCGCACTTCTCTGTCTGGCAATCTGATGGATGTGTCTGGGTTTGGCAGTTGCCAGGGGAACAGTACTTGCTTGACTAGGGTGTGACAGTGCGGAGACAGGAAGTGACCTGGACCGTGACCTGAAGGATGGCATCAATTAAAAACAAGCCGGAGGTGGTGGAGCACATTTTCTATGTTCACTTCAGGCTTATCAGAGGATGTAATATTCGGGCTTGTTTTATTGATTTTTTTTGTAAGGTCCAATCACTTTATTAAAGGATCTGTTCGTTCATACCACACCATTGGAGCATTTTTTGTTTGCGTTACATGGTCAATTTGGATGGAATGCAATCTTTATCTCCAGTGATCTATAATCTATCTTTAAATGGGAAATATGTCCCAGGAAGCTTGTTTGCCAACCACGAGAGTGGAAGGCAAATATTTTTGGTGAGTTTACATCCATGTGGGGGAATTCTATGGAGCACTTTGTTTTCAGTTTGCTGCATATGGTGAAATAGAAGATTATTTTCATGGACTTTGGATTACTTTACTACACTTTTTTCATGGACTTTTCATCACTTTTTGAGTTTGTCATTGTTTTTTTACAGCAATCACGGACTATTCATATATTTGTGTTATCACTATTGAGTTTTATGGGCATTCACAAGATATTTTTTATTTATGGGCATTCACAATATATTTTTTATTTTTTTATTATTATATAGTTTTGTACTCATGATTGATTAATTCACTTAGTGCCACTTTAAACACTTTATTAATTTGGTGTTTTAATTTAAAAAAATTCTAGGGGCATAAACCACACATTACACATCTCATTTCCTGATTATCTATCACATTTTTGGAGGCCCTGGAGCACCAGCACAGTGGATACCTTAAAATGACCACATTTTGGAGAGTAAACACCCCGTTATTAAGAGGCAAAGTGAGTCTTTTGAAGACTTTATTTTTTTGCCAACTTTTTGGAAGATGCAGAATGAAATTAAAAATGTATTTTTTACACAAAGTTGTTAATTTTACAAGATATTTCTAACACACAGCATAGGAATTCTTAGATTTACACTCCAAAACACTTTCTGATACTCCTTCTGAGTGTGGTGATACCACGTGTGAGACCTTTTTCAATGTTTGGATTGATTAAGTACCAGACATTGCATTTTGTGTTTCACACAAATCAACCAATTGTACCAATGTCAATGCACTATATTTTTAACCTCTGTATGAGTGGTCAGGTAATATAACTTAGTGTAGCATCATCTATAGCAGTCCCTGTTCCTTTAAACCAAGCAAGCCAGGCCTACTGGTGCATGGCTGCCCCAAGGAATGCCATGTTTACTGGCCAGGAAGTACAGGAGGCTGAAGAAAGAACAAAAGAGTGCATGTGGTTCCAGGAGTGTTGTCCACAGGGGATGACTGAGACTGGTGTCTCAAAGGAACATTCAGATGTGCAGATGTGCTTGTTGAGGCAGCAGAGTGGTTCAGTGCTTGCAAAGGATTTCCTCATTTTAGGTGCCTGAATTAAGTGGTGGGGAGTGATAGAAGTAAGTATGTGATTCTGGGTAATGTAGGGGAGGTGCCCAAGAAAGCAAAATTTCAGCAACCCACAGTCACCCATCAGAGGTGATGTCAGACTTTGCGCATATCTTTATATATGTTGGGCATACAAATGAGAGCCTGGCATTGGATTTTATTTTCTGGCACTTTATTTATGAACTAATATTATCATTTTTATCTTGTTTATTTTTGTTTTCTGTTCCTAAATATTTTCTGCTTTTTTTTTTGCATTAAAATATTAATGGCAAATATGGCTCTGACTGCAGCCTTTCCTGCAATCATTGGTTATGGTCAGTAAAGAAAATGGCAAAGAGCACTGATAATGTCCAGAGAGCATTAACTCAGGTAAGCCTTTCAGATTTCTGTCTACTTGTGTCTGACAGGTAAAAGATTTGACTGGCTTTCTGCACTTTATACATTGCACTTAGCCTTTACTATATTGCTTTTTGCCTTTGCTTAATGCAAGAGGTGCCAAATGACAAGGTTTTCTGTATTCAAGTACAAACGCGTAAAATATTTTTGGTTTTTATTGTACATCATATTTAAAACCTATTCGAGCTGAAATCTGACTCTACTAAAACATCCCCACGGAGTGAATAAAAAAGAATCATGTTTAAATGCAGTATTTTAAAAGTTTAATACATATTTAACTAACCCTCCGGGGATATAGAAGGATTAAGTTTAACAATGCAGACTCGGAGCACACTATTGTATAAGGTCATTAGGATAGTACAGTAGTCCTATGAGAGAACATCGGGCCATTTGCTCCAAGATGCCTGTGCATTAAATATTTGGTACTTGATTTATGTTGTAACTGCCCTGTGTTATAATTTGTCAGTAGAACAGTCTTACTTTACATTTTTCTTAAACATCTACATTTAGAATTTATCATGTGTTTGCTCCTATTAAACCTTTTTATAGTTACAAAAAGCATAATATTCTGTTACTCCCACACAGGAGCAACAATTTAGAATGACAATATTTGTATTGTAATGGTTTTTATTAATTTTTAACAGTTTAACACAGGAGCAACAAACCACGCCCACGCAGGGGCTATCAATTGCACATAAAAAATTAGAAAAAAACAGTGCTCTAATACCAACAGAGCAAAAGGTGCACCCACGCAGGGGCTATCAATGGCACTTAAGTGACAAAACATTAGTATAACACCGATAGTAACTCAAATTAAAGGCAGCTATCCACTGCCAGACCAAAAACAAACAAAAAAAAAAAGGAAAGGAAGGAGGAGGAGTACAAAACAAAACCAAGAGCAGGGGTCCAAGAACGCTAATACGGAACAACATCACATCCCCAGACTAGCCGGGGGGAGCGTGGGAAAGGCATATTGCAACCATAGCAGCTCCCATATTTTCAAGAATTTACATTGGGAGTAGTTGCAGACAGGGGCGGACTGACAACTCATAGGGCCCCCGGGCAATAGGGGTGTCCTCGCCCACACCCAAAAAAGCCTATGAAAAAGACAATGAGACAAAGACAACAGGCTCTTCCAGGCCTGAGCAATTGTTCTAGTGGCCGACCAAAACAAATAGGAAGCCAACTTCTGCTGATGAGCCAAGAGGCCCGGTATGGGACAATGAAGCAAAGCATACCGAGCATACCAGCATATGGAGAGATGGAACAAGGTGAAAAGGAGGCCAAACACACAAGACCAAAAACGAAACAGTCTCGGGCATGACCACCAGATATGCAATACATCACCACGATGGCCACAACCCAGAAAGCATCGATAACTGCAGGCAGGGTTTGCCTGGGCCAAACGAACCAGAACCCAATACCAACGAAATAATACTTTGTATGCCGCCTCCAGTGTGGTTGTAGTAAATGAACATTTAGCTATAAGTGACCAGGCCCTATTCAAGTCCTCTAGATCCACGACTGCCCCCAGGTCGCGCTCCCACTGAACAACATATGAAAGCGAAGTAAGCGTTGTGCGTCTGTTCAAAGCTGCATAAAGCAGGGAAATAAGGCCCAGGGCGCCCGGACGCTGTTAGCAAAGCAGTTCAAAGGCAGATTTCTGGTACGGGAAAGCAGAAGTGCCCCACAGCGAGATCAGCTAATGCCGCAATTGAAGGTAATGAAAAAATTCAGCCGGAGGGACATCCCGCGACTCCCGAAGAGAATTCCAGGTAGGGAAGGACAAGAAGTCAAAAAGTGTCACACCTGTGAAAAACCATTGGCCACCCACCAAGAAAATGCCCTTGGTTGATCTAAACCTGGTGGAAAGAGAGGGTTGTCAGTAATTGGGAACAAAGGCAAGAAAGGTGACATCAGGCCACTGGAGTAACGTACCAAGTCCCACACTTGTAAGCCATGGAGCAAAATCGGACTCAGTGCCATAGGGCGCAGGGTAGGGGGAAGCCATAAAAGCGTCGATGTCGCAATAGGGGCACAATTAGGTAGTTCCAGCAGGACCCAGAGAGGAACGTCTGAGGAAGAGTGCAACATCGACAGCGGGGCAATCTGGCTCGCCTGATAATACTCAGTTACATTAGACACCCCAAGACCACCCGGGAGTCTATGAACAAAAAAAAATTATAATATTGGATTACTAATGAATGCCTTGGAGTTTCATATTTAATGGCACATTGATTGAAAACATTTGTGCAAGTGAACACCCAATCCAAACACAAAAATGCTTATACATTTGCCTTCCAACACATCTATAATTTTACTAAATAGTATGAGCTAGGGGTATATTTGTAAAACATTCTCTTGCACATTCACAACACTTTTCCTGGGAACTGTTCACCCTTCTTATAAAGCACATTTTCTTCTTATTTGTCAGGTGTATTTGCCAACAACTATATTGCCAAAATTATTGTGACACTCCTCCAAATCATTGGATTCAGGTGTTCCAATCACCTCCACGTCCACAGTGTGCAGAAGTCACAAACTTCATGTGGCCTTCAGATTAGCACAACAGCAGTGCATGGATAGCTTCATGGCATGGGTTTTCATAGCCGAGCAGCTGCATCCAAGCCTTACATCACCTTACAACACCAAGTGCAATGCAAAGCAGTGGAGATGTGTTCTCTGGAGTGACGAATCACGCTTCTCTGTCTGGCAATCCGATGGACATGTCTGGGTTTGGCAGTTGGCAGGAGTACGGTACTTGACTGCACTGTGCCAAGTGTACATTTTGATGGAAGGGGGATTGGGGTGTGGGGTTGTTTTTCAGGGTTGGCCCCTTAGTTGCAGTGAAGGGAACTCTTAATGCGTCAGCATACCAAGACAATTTTGGACAGTTTCATACTCCCAAGTTTGTAGAAACAGTTTGTGGATGGCCCCTTCCTTTACTAGCATTACTG